GGAGAACAAAAAAGCCATAAGAGCTGTGGCTACAGTGGTCATGGATGCAGAAACCCAGGAGTGGGAGGATTTTGGAAAGACTATGGAGAAGCATTTGGATTGGTCTGAAGGCTGTTCTGGAGAGCTATCAGATGACTCAGTTCAGGAAAGAGCAGGGCTTGGTGCAGGCTGTGTTCATCAGGACAGAAGAACTGCTGACTCAGACTGGGGATATCATCAGGTGGTGGAAATAACATTTTGAGGAATCCCCTGAGTAGGAGCCACAGTTTGAAATATTGGGAGGTCTCCTGCATCTTTGGCACAGGCCTCTGAGGTAGTTCAAAAGGTGTGGATGAGATTTGCCCCGAGATGTTGAAGGATCTGCACCTAGTGGGGGCATCTTGGGTGACCCAGCTCTTCAGTGTGGCATGGAGATCAGAAACAAAGGTAGTAGTTCCCAAATTTTAAACCGAGGATCCGAGTGTGTGTTCCTATTATTGTGGTATCACACAGCTTAGCCTCCCCTGTAAAGCTTATGCCAGGATGCTGGACAGTATGTTCCGACTGATTGTCAAACCTCATATCCAAGGAGGACCATGAGGGTTCTGCTCTGGCAGGAAAAAGGAGGCTGCCCAGGAGAGCCACGAGTGAGGATACAAGAATTCATCCTTCATGGAATTCTTTATGAACCAACACATCCCTTTATTCGAAACCAGTCAGTGATTGGTTACTTCCGATGAAGGCGGAAAGGATATTTCATGTCTCTTAAATGTTCCATTGATTCCTCTCCTTGTACTTTTTCCCTTGCATCTTTTTCTCACAACTTATATGGGTGAAACAAAGATGCAAGTCAGGAAACGTATGCAATTAAGGGAACTTGCATTGCTGAACCTCGTGGTTCAACAACCCGACTCTGGATAAGTGAGTTAAAAATGGATGGAGACAGCACTACATATGGTGTAAAAAGAGTGGTGCACAGAAACATACTGCACCATGATTTGGAGCTGCCTGTTGATCCAGGGAGCTTTTCATCGAGAGGAAAATCAGTTCTCACATTTTATTACTTCTTAAACACAATAGATGCTAGGTGGTGCAGCAGGACAGTGACCATAAACACAACACTGAAGTAAAGCAACTGCAGAATAACTTCCACCTACTGGAGTTGCCCATTCACAGCCCAGACCCATTAGAGATGATGTCAGATGAACTTGGAGAACATTTCACACCAGACATCCTGAGAATACGGATAGGCTTAAACCCCCTCCTGAAGGTAGTGGTAATTTGATCCATGGCTACAGAAAACTTTTGAGGTTATTCAATCCAAGGGTTCACTTGGATGAAGATCTGATCACATTTTATGACCAATTAATGCAAGAAAAAGTGGTGATTCGAAAAGTTTCACATCCTTTTTGTTGCCACTCTATTTGTAGGTATCACCTGACAAAACATTGTAAGTGGGGTCAATGACAAGGAAATGGGCCATTCTATAAAAACAGTTTTATTGATTTTATTAACTGTACATTTCTTTTTAGTGCTGACAGCATTTGCTACATACTTTGGTGTGATTCAGAGGGACTAGTGCATTTTTCCTCTTGTATTCTTGTGGGAAATACTAACAATCAGAAGCACAGTGTCCAAACCTGAAGTACTCACTTTTGTCTTAACATCAACATTATGGGACACGATTTACTAATTTGTGTATATTGGTTGCATTTACATTTAAGTGCCATTCCCTACAGGCACTGAGCATTTCTTATAAAGGCAGACTGCTCTGTGCAATGAATCGGGTCAAACATCTGCCTGCCTTCCCCTCTGCAGCCAACTAAACATGTTCCAGGAATACTGATAAGATACAAAGGGCAGAAGGATTCCAATAGCACTGATTGGACTGTTTGAGTTTAGTCTGTAGCCAGGAAATCAGTGGTGCAATTTGAACATCAGTATTATGTCAGGTTAGCAAAAAGCACATTGTCATTCAGTTTGTGCCTGCCGCAGTGCCTCTTCTGCCAACTGAGGTCCAAGGGTTAAGCTAAACATTAAACAGCTCCCATAATCTAACAAGGCAACACACACAGGGAGAAAGATAGCAAAGACAGAGCAGTACACTTTAAAAAGGTTTATATATATATATATATATATATATATGAATTAAATTTACATCCATCACTTTACTTGAATCCTAGTGTCCCGCTGGCTCCCACAGTGGTCCAAACCAGCCGAGGCTCTGCCTGAGATCGGACCACGCTTTCACTGTCCGGTAAGAGCCCTGTGACAAAAGGCCATTTTAAAATGTCCACAAAATGTCCTTTACAAGTTTCGTGCTCCTCCATTTGATTTTTGAAAAGGTCAGCCCAGAGAATGTGCTTTAAGATAATCAAAGAGTAAAACTTTTAATCTTTGTTCTGCTCCCCCACTCAAATATCATGGCATAAGACAGAGTGGGACAAAATGTCACAAGTACACCCAGGACATGAAAATATATATATATTTATATATAAAATGTCTTATTTAATCAGATATGTACACTTTTCACAAGACGTCTGGGGAATGAGGTTCTCAGAAACGAAGCACAGCTTCACTGGGTTGCACCCAGGTATTCTCAAAAAAGGGAGGAGAAAAAAAAAAAAAACAGGAAAACCATCTGATTTCACAAAAGTGCAACTCAAAAATTAACCCTTGAAACCAAAAGGACAAAAAGGTAACTTTTCCAGCACAAGTATCCCTGGACCTACAGATCAGTCTCCATCAGTTAAGTTCTCTAGTTTGTCTCAGCCTGTGGTTGTCCACAGACGGTCGAGCAGGAACACAATAGGAGATGCCTCTCTCTAGTAGATGACCTCGTAGACAGTGGCCTTCTTGTCACCGGATCCTGTCACAATGTATTTGTCATCTGCTGAAATGTCACAGCTCAGGACAGAAGACGACTCCTTTGACTGTGGAAGTAAAAAAAAAAAAAAAAAAAAGTCAGTAATACATCTTCGTCATGTTTTAGGTAACTGTCAGTCTACCTTAGCACTTAACTTCATGAACAGCAGGGGAACATGCATTAGTCCAGCAGAAGCATTAACAGAAAACATGCAACATCCTCAGATGACGTTTTTTTCCCCCACTATTCAATAATCACTAAAACAAGCCATAGATTATCAAAATAAAACTTGGTAATTGTTTCAAGTCCTATTTAAGATTATGTAAGTTGGAAACCCCTCCCACCAAGTAATGTTTCTATCTTTACACCAGAGTTACCATGCCTGAAGCATGTGAATGATCAGTAAGACAGTGCAATTATAATAGGAGCATGACAGTTGGGACTAAGACCACCCAGGCAAAGTAATCTGTAATGTTCCTTTACACTTTTTAGTTTAGTTGTCTGTGTTTATTGTAGTTACCTGGAATATGCTGGCACCGTAAGGAGTTCTCCATGCATTCAGCAGATTGTCCTTTCCTGTGCTCACAAACCATTTACCTGCAGACACACAAGAGACATCATGAGAATATCATCTGAAGGTACTTACATGCATTTGTCCTCTCAAATCTGGCCGCCACTGTCATTTCCAGGCTTAGAATAGGAGTTACACTACACCATACCACTATTAGTTAACATGCGACTCTGTAATGACCTTATCAATGGCCATAAAAATCTAATGGTGGAAATTCCATTACATAAACAATCATAATGAAGGGGACTCACACCATTTCCATTCTGATAATTATTTAAATCACCCTCTGATTAATTACCCCACTGACTACATGGCTAATGATTTCATTAGTGACAGCAAGAGCTCTGAAGCAGCAAGCATCCAAATTAACCAGTTCTGTAGTGGCAGAGATATGAGACTGTGCCAGGAGGGGCTTACTTTTCTGGAGAAAATGGCATTCAGTTGTATATTATTGAGGTCAAACTTCTACCTTAACATCTGTGTTTATGGAGCTAAATGGTTAAGCTTTTGGTGAAATTGTCAGATATATAAATTTAATTATGTTTATTATTGAGGTCCTAGTTAAAGGTGGTGTTGTACTGGACTACATTATATTCAGAGGTGTCTATTTTTGTCCTCCCTGGCTGCATACATGAGAAGCTCAGGAACACCTCTGAATACAATGTAGTCCAGTACAACACCACCTTTAACTATGACCTCAATAATAAACATAAGTGAATTTATATTTATAATTTGAATTTATATATTTGACAATTTCACCAAAAGCTGAAACATTGAGCTTCATAAAAACAGATGGTAAGGCAGACATGTTGCATTGAATTGCATATCATTTTACCTAAGTTCAAGTGTACCTCATAAAGTGGCCAGTGAATGTATGTAATAACAGTATAACTGCAAATCCAGTTTCTCCTCGGGTCATTGAGTTCCCTGTGGTAGCTAGGACTCTGCTCAACAGTCAGCCAATACCCATCAGGCTTGGTCAGACTGGTGGTGAGTTTGTGCTCTGAGGCTTGCTACTGATTGCCTAAAGATCCCCCCGCCACACACACAGGCCTGTGTACCTGCTACTTACCACAGTAGGCGAACTTGAGTGAGAGGACACAGCTTTCATGCAGGTGCAGCTGATACTTGTCAGGCTTGGTATGGTGAAGCACCTCCACATTGCTGCTCTCCATGCCCACAGCCAGCCATTCTCCAGTGGGGCAGTAGCCTAGGGAAAAGATCTGAAGCAAGGGTACAACAACATGGTTGGATCAGGCAACAGTAATTAACAATACAAAAGGACCTGTACTTTTTTTTTTTTTTAATACAGGCTTCTCTCTACCTGTGAGGTAAAGTCGTGTTGCTGGAGTTGTCGTCCCTCCCTCAAATCCCATGAGCGAACCGTGTTGTCAAGCCCTCCAGTCCACAGCTTGGTCCCATCGTGAGAGATGTCGATACAGCTGGCTCCATCGGTGTGGCCTTGGAACTGTCTGGAACAACACAAGACACCAACATCAAGTTAGGAACAGAGGGTGAGGCCATCTTATATTAGTGGCCAAATCTTTTATTCCTCAGACACCGAGCTGTGTATTAAAGAAAGCTGGTAGCACAAATGCTAAGTGAATGTACTGAAGTATGACGTTTGTGCTTTAAAATTGCTATTTCAGTAAATCACTGACCTAACGAGGGTCTGGTTGTGGAGGTCCCACACAGCGATGTTTCCATCTGAGCAGCAGGAGAAACACACCTTGGCGTCAGGACTGATGGCCAGCGCATAGCAGGCCGGAGCAGAAGAAGTAAGTTCAGCCTTTATGCGGGGTGTCTGTGAGGCCAGGTCCCAGATGGTCAATGTGCTGGCCTCGCCACCCACTATCAGGGTGCGGCCGTCAGGCAACAGCTTGCAGGAGCGGATGTAATTGTCTCTGTTCTGGAGCAGAAACAAAAGGAGTGCATCATCCTGATCTTGATGTAATCTATCTTTAATTTTTTTTCTGCATGTGAAACTATTTCTTGTTGAAAAACAAGAAGCTAGTTCAGTGTATCCATGTCACTTAAACTCAGTTTTTGTTTGACAAGTGAAGCTTTTAGGCTGCAGCTGACTCGCCTTTGTGTTAAACTGAAGATGTGGATGTCAGCTTTAACGAGAGAGGCTGCAGCTGTTGGCCAGGCTCCAAGAGAGCAGGAAGACAGATCAATAAGACTGTGGAAGCTCTTGGTTGAATTAAAACAGCACCCTGATGGCTTTATAAGACCCAACTGCACTCTGGACGCACCTTAAGGGTATTTTGGAGGCCATATGAGTTGAACGGCATGAAGCCACAGTATCAAAATGAGAAATGGGAGGCATTTGGGAGGAGTTAATGAGCTGGGTAATGGCAGACACGGCTGGCCAATCAGAACATCATTACTCAGCAGGCCTTTTTTTTTTTCTCTCACCAAGGATTATTTCAGCACAACAGTGAGACACTTGCTGAATTATTCACATCTCTCTTTGTTGGGATCAGGGGGGCTAGAGTGGGATGTGAGTAAGGCCACATTTGATGCTCAAGAAAACTCTTAATGAAGGACAATGATCACCCCAGGAAACATGGTCTCTCTGTTCTGGTTGGATGCCTTGTTACCAATTTGAAATGTTTACAATAACACACATGTAGAACACTTAACCAAACGCCTCATGTTTTCTCTTGCTGTGACTTATCAAACAGCTACTTACCAGGCAGTCGAGTTGGGACACGGGGCTCTTGCTGCCCGGCTGGCTGATGTCCCAAATCTTGACACAGCCCTTGCCACCGGTGTAGACGTGACGTGTAGGGTTGCTGATGGTGACGGCGCACACCACCTCCCCATGACTCAGTGTGTTGATCTGGCGAGCATGGCGCGGGATGCCCGGACCTATCAGTGCATCTGGAGGGAAAGGCACAGGCTGCATCTGACCATCTGCACTCACATGAAAAGAATAGGCTCTGTAGAGGACAGAAGAAGGGAAAAGATGGTCAGAGGTACATGTCATAACAAGTAGTTAAACTCAAAACTGTACACTGAATGTCAGTAAAATACAAAAGACTCACGGTTTTCCTCCAGAAATGGAAGTGAGGCTGGCTGGCAGGCCTGGAGCTCTCATGTGAGGGTGAGGGTCAAACCCGGCCTGCATGAGGAAAAAGAGGGAAGAGGTAAACATTAATTCAAATTGAAAACTATGCTTCACTTACGCTGCTAACACCCTGAGAAACCCCTGTACCATCCTCTCCAGGCAAATCCCTTGAAAGGTGCAGATTCAGCTTCTTTGCATACAGACAAGCTTTACACAAGGCTACAACCCCCCACTTGCTAATGCTAATGAGAGCCTGGGAGCTTTTCAAACATGGAGATGCAGTTTGGGGTGAGCCTTTTTTTAAGCCGTTAGCTAACAATAAAGTAAAGGAGCTAGGCTGTCTTTGTACTTTCTCATTATGTACACAAGCTGCAGCCAGCCAAGCAGAAATATTTACAATGAGTTATAGAAATACGAACGCTCAAATTTCTCAGTCACTCCACAGCAGTGGTAGATAGTTCTTACAGGCACTGGTGAGGGCTTCTTGTGTCAAATCTATGTAGGTGGAATATATGAAGGAGTATACAAAGCCACCTTATTAGGTACACCTGTACAATTGCAATTCAGTGCAACACTTCCACCTCAACATCTCAAGCTCAAAATGTTTGAGTCTGTGGTGAAATTGTCAAATATAAATTCAACTATATGTTTATTATTGAGGTCACAGATAAAGGTGGTGGTGTACTAGATTACATTATATTGAGGAAGTGTCTATATTTTTGTCCTCCTCAGCTACATAGATGAGGGTCAGAATGTCAGGAACACCTCTGAATATAATGTAGTCCAGTACACCACCACCTTTAACTGTGACCTTATTAATACATCTATAGTTTATACATTTATAAAAATTTAATCTAAAACCCTCATTTTCAGCTTCACACAGATGTTAAGGCAGACATTTTGCACTGAACTGCACAGTTGTACAAGTGTACCTAATAAAGTGGCTGCGATTGTATGTGAAGTAGGGGACCGTCATTTATTCCACTGTATTCAAATACATACACATTTTGATTCATTAATGATATATAGAAGCTGGAATACTTACAATCGGTGAGCGGCCATAAGCGGCGGCAGCTGCAGCACTCATCTGTGGTGAAATAAGACCCGGATAAACGCCTGGGCTGGTTAGGGAGCCGTTCATCTCATGATGACTTATCATAGCAAATGGATTGGCATAGGAACCCGCAATGGACAGAGGTGTACGCAGAGCAGGAGCGGCTAGAAATTAGAAAACACTATTTTAATCATTTTATAGAAACTGCACAAGAGAGAAACAATTTAGTTCTAGAAACACTAAACTGTGATTCACTGCACTGAGTGTAGGGCTGCAACTAACAATTACTTCAATTTTATGAGCCCTGGACAGCTCCATCTGCTGATCATCACATCACATGGTCAAAAGCTCCAGACCAACTATGACCCTGTGGTGAGTCGGTTTTGTTTCAAGGGTCACATGAACACTGAATCTAGTAAACAATGAATTTGCAGATTGCTTTCTTGATCAAGCATCTAACCTAAATGCAAATCAATCTCTTAAAGCCCACATTATCGATATTAAAATGCTTGCTTTGTTGAACCAGCACTCAAAAACCTAAAACAGTTCATTATCACAGAGAAGACAGAGAAAAGACAGACATTAAGACAGAGAAAAGAAGCAAATTCTCACAATTAGGAGCCAGAGCCAGTAAATACTTGGTATTTTTGCCAACTGATAAATTAGCATAACAGTCTAGGTGTGTGTCCACGTCTCCATACCCAGTGCCTCCATGCCAGGTGGTTTGCCCATCATTAGAGGCCGCAGCCCTGGAGTGGTGCTGGTTCCTGGTGTCGGTGCCTCGTTTCTTGGTGTAGGTGTGTTGGATTTCAGGCTCGGTGTGGATGACTTGTCGTTCTAAAACAGAGGTAATTTTTGACCTTTGGGTGCAACCTTGTTTTGTATCCTCTTCCTGAACTATATACTCAAGTTAATTTCCTGTCATGCTCAGCTATACACAAACACACAAAATTTAACAGTGTCCATGCCAGAATTAAAACAATTTAAAAAATCCCATCCCCACTATCAGGGAAGTCCAGAGCAACCATCTGGACAGCTGAAGGTAATCCAGTCTAACACTGACACTTCATTATAGCCATGGTGTGCGTGTGTGTGCGCACACGTGGTAGGAGTATAAACCTTTGCTTAGAGGTCAAGCTTGTTAAGAGTGGCTAGACAAGCAAGTTGGTGGCCCAACACTTCTATCATAATTAATCCATTTCCTCTGTCCTTTGCAGATCGAGTTAGAGGAGTGGGGGTTCTGCCTGGTCACACACACACACACACACACACACACACACACACACACACACACACACACACACACACACACACACACACACACACACACACACACACACACTAATGAGGGAGGACATGAAGCTGGGTGTCGTGCGAGGCAGAAGGTAGTGATGTGGACTATAAATCTGTCCTAATCCTTGCTGACATGGTTTATGTAAAACTAATGCACGAGGGGTGTTTCAGCCTTGTTAGTGAGAGAAAATGGGGGACGGAAATAGTGAAAATGAGAAGATGCAAGAAATGGAGGAGACAGCGGTACCCTCGCTGCTGTGTATCTCGGCTATTTACCGTCTCAGGCTGACGAAGAAATGACCATTTATTGGGTAAGCCATAAAGGAGATTGAGAGGAGTGAGGGTTTGATTTTCTGAGTGTGCCTCCACCCTGTGCCCCTTCAAGCAACCAACTGCTAAGCCTCCTCTGTATTAGCCCATCAACACAGACACTTGACAAATGCCCTTTAGTCTGTCAGTTCACCCTTCATCCCCTCCACCATAACCTTATTTCATCTTCTCTCGAGTCTTTCAGTGTGTCCCTCACACTCACATGGGCGTGGTCCTTTGCTTTGGATGATGGTGTGCTGCCCGAGGAGGCGACAGACGCGGGGCTGTTAGGTGCAGCATCCTTCTTCAGGACTCGTGATTTATCCAGGCCATTTTCTGGAGGAGAGTGAGCAGGGCTGACACGAGGGGTGGATGGATCCTACAGAGTTAAACGAAACAGAGAGCAAGACTGAGCAAACAGACTGGAGGAAAGCCACTGGCATGTACATGTAGGTCAAACAAACTGAGGCCTCATGTGCAAACACAGATAAATATACTCATGCTTGCTCACACTGTACCTCACACACACACACTTTTCATTCACCTGTCATGCCTCTTTGTCTTACTTCCTGCATGAATGACAAAATAAATACAGAAAGTAAGCACACACAACCAGTATTATGACAGACTTTTGGCAACGCTGTGAAAAGTGTTGAGGCTTCTACAGTCAAGTGACAAAAGAGAGCTGTGTTTTGTTTCTGTGCACCATTCCCACTGGGGAATGTGGCTGAGCAGCTCAGTTCAAACGCAGTCTTACCTCATTGGAAACATCCACCACCAAGTCATCACTTTTGTCTCCATCACTGTCCTGAAATGAAGGAGTGACAGGCTTGGTTTACTGAGATACTGCTAACGGTAGGAACACTACAGCAAGCACCGACAGGTATAGTCCAGTTAGGTGACTATCAGGTCAAAATGAAAGACCACTTCAAGTTTATGGACTTTATAGAGTCAACTTGAGCGCTTGTTTATTGACTGCTAAAAATACAGGAATCTACACTGGGCAGTGCTTTATTTTACATGTCCATTATGTCCTAAATGATACAATAACTTTAAAGTTTTCTGAAAAAGAACTGTGGTACATGCTAGTAACTGTACGAGAAACAAGTGTGCAAGTGACTTTACTCAGTTGCTGGTCCATTTGAAAGTAAATTCATATCAATTTATATTGAACCTTTTTATATGATGAATTGTACACTCGTATGTAGACGCTCATGTTTGCACTGACTAAAAAACAAGGATACGCTAGGTTAGCATTTAACTGGAATTAAGTAGTTGTTAATTGGTACACTTCAAATTATCCATTTAACCTATAATTGGAGCCAAATTAAATCCTTTCCAGGACATTTACAAGAATTTACACAGTCATAAAATAAAACATTAACAAAACTCTGGAGCTTAAATAATGAAATAACTGCTAATAAAGTACAGTAGCTGTTAATTTCCCTGCTATATTTTGGTTCTTAAACTTAAGGGTAACATTTTTAAGTGGGTCCTAATATAGTCAACAGTAAGTTAATACAGTTAGAGTACACACTCAATGTATACACTACAAACTAAGACCAATAAACGCCAGCACTCACATATCTGCTCATGCTGTCTTTGTCATCCACTTTGCGTTTCTTGGAGTCAAGACCGTAATCTGAAGAGCCGCGGTGCTTCTCACTCGCTGCCCGCAGGCTGTCCGATGGTGACACAGAGTTATTCTGCCAACAACAACATGCAGACAGACATATATCAGTCTCTAGTTCCCATCTGACCCTTAACATCCTCAAGAAACTATCGATCATCACTTATTATCCTGTACAATACAGGCAAGTAGCAAGTGTTACGGTATGTGGGGAAGTGAGCTCAGCCAATGCTGTAAATGTCATCTTGCTCCATGTGAACCCACTGTGAAGTGCTGTGGAGTAACAAACTGTGTCACTTGAAAATAAATAAGCTTCTCTGTTGGCTTACAGTGCAGAATTTACGTAACTACAAAAAGAGTAAACACCATCCTGCCAGCATATGCCCTCTAGGAAAGTGAATGTTTTGGGGCTTAAAGGAAGCAAGTGACAAACCCTCAGAAATTATTGAGTGGCCTTTAGGTCCAGACAGGCTCTGGAGCCTTTTCCTTTATCAAAGCATTGACAATATTAACTGTAAAGCTAAACGCACAATGCTCATGGACTATACTAGACTGATTTGGGACAGAAGGGCAGAAAAGGATTCTGGGACAGTTTAGTCGTGCTGCTGTCCAGAAAAGGATTCTGGGACAGTTTAGTCCTGCTGCTGTCGTGGCAACATGGAAACTGAGGCAACACCAAAAACGCCAGTGGAAGGCAAAAGCATTAATTTACCATAAGGTGATGCATAGAGCAGATCATGTCAGAAATGTGAGGATGGAGCAGAGTGCATCATGGGATATTTGCTGTGTACAGTACACACACACACACACACAACCTGACATCTAATCAACCTGTAGACCCTCAGTCACCTGGTGAGAGGCATGCCTGAAACAACATCTGACTGCAACTTTTCTGTGACATGCAAATAAAAACAAAAGTGACCAGGACATCACACTGTGCAGCTCTAAACCCCAGGTTAATGATTGGTTCAGAACCCCTCACTGTGTGCACGCTGTGGTGAGTCAGTGACAAAACAGCGGAAAATGACTGACAGCAGAGTTCATGAAAGTCAACCAGAATTGAACAGAGGAAGGAAAGAAAGCAGCCTTTGAAGGGACCTGGATAAGAGTGCAATGTGAAAACACAAGGGTGTTGCCAGTAGAGAAAGAGCCATAAAAGCAGCAGAGTGAGAAAATGAGAAAAAAGGAGGAAGGAAGACAAGAGAGCAAAACAGGAAAGGAACTTGGCAAGCAATGAGAGCGTAGCAGTGTGGCACTGAGTCCCCCCCCCAGTGGAAATGCCTGGACAGGCTGGCACTCTCTCAGAAGCTGCGAATGGGGCTTTTGTAGTCTGGGCACTGGTGTGTTGGGGTAGTACTGCCAAACAGTCCGGCAGGCAGGGAAGAAGGTGGAGGGGGTGAAGGCAAGCAAGATGATTCCAGCCCACACTGTCAGGCAGCTCAACAAATCCCTGCCTTCATCAGAAACAGGGAGATATGGTGAAAGAGGGAGAAGGAAGATGTCTGACATCTTGGCTACAAATGATGACAGGAGGAGACAGAATAAGAGTAGAGAAAGGTAACAGCATGAAAACTGAGTGAAAGGATGACATAAAAAAATACCTCCTGAGCCCACACAGGTCCCTTTCCTTGGCCACCACACAGAGAGTCGGGCTTTTCCCAACTGTTTGAACCAACCCAGCAGCTTTCTGCTATTTCTCCATCCCCCCATTCCCTCTTCCCGGATCAAAATACCAAAGTTGCTCAGCTGCCGTTATGGAGAAGAGAAGATGTGAAGATGATGTCTGACAGAAATCTCAAAACCATTCCAGCCTCTCTGGTGTATCTGAGCCTGTGACCTTTAAAGCATTGTTCAGACTCAATAACCATGCGCTTGCCTCCAACTCTGGTATCAGATGACCTGAGACAACAGCACAGGAAGAGTCTGCGTGTGTGTGTGCGTGCACTGGAAAGGAAAGGGAGGGGAGGGTGGCGGCGCACTCAGGTAAGGTAGTATACGCAGCTGCTTGTCACCACACCAGATGAGGGAGAGTTTGGGTTCCCTTCAGACATGAGTGGGCCCATTCAGGTTGGCCAGTCAATGGGAACTCGATCTGTCCAAGTAGATCCAACAGAGCGTTATGCTTCAGCTAACTGAAAGATTTAAGCCAGGCCAATAAGCAAGAACTCTAACATGAGAAGGAAGAGAGAGAGAGCCAGTGTCAAAGGGAGAGAGAGGAAGAGGTGGAAGCAGGTAAATAAGTGAGATAAGAGGACGACGACACAGCAGAAAAAAGGCATATGCAAAATAAAGAGGTAGATAAAGGGAGATGAAAAGAAGTCAGGTATTGAACACGTGCAACAATAAATCCTCTAAAGTGATGAAGGAAGAAGCGAAGGAGAGTTAAAGTCCCATTTAATTGTGTTGAAATTAAAGGAGGTAGCTGACGACTAATCCCCACCCAGTGAATGGAGTCATTTTCTACCTGGATTAGATGCCACTGGCTCATTTGACCAGACTTCACTATTTGATTTCAGTCAGCTTATCCCCCCTTGTGTCCAAAAATGTGTGTTCTTACACAGAGAGCATGCATTTCTATTCGACAGTGGGCTTATGTCCATGTGAAGTACACCTAATCACCAAACACAGTGAGCCTGAGACACAAGAGACGGAGAGCTGCAGAGTCAACATACCGTGCTCGACTCGCGTTCTTTCAGAGGAATGGCCAGAGGCAAGTGAAAAGATGAGGGGCCAGGAGAGAGAAAAGCAAACACAAATTAGTATGGGTGTCACCACCACTCAGTGCTGCAATCATATTACTCTTATATGTGCAACTCAGCGTAATTTAAGTACATTTTATAGAGGGTGCAACTGATGGCTTTATTAATGCTTAATAAATCATTTACTGATGCTTTACAATGTCTGTTAAAAGTCAATTTTGAGAACAAGTTTGTAACTTTGTGTTGCCAGGTTGTGAAAACTGTTGCTTCATCTTTCTCAGACCTTTAGTTTATCAGGTAGACTCTCCAATGGACTGTGTCATCGCTGACCTTTTGGACATCTGGTTCAAAGCATGTTGATTTTTGCAACTGCAGACTTGATGAATTAGAAGGGAGGAAATGTATGAATGACTTAAACTTAGTAATTACAAAAGATTCCTGCT